ATATACTCCAAATAAATCTCATTTATAGAAAATAGAATGTGGAAAATATTCCAGAAATAAGCTGTTCACCAGTTGTACCCTAGATGCATTTCCCAATATCTGTTTTCTCAAAAGTCACCGATGGTTGAAATGTTATTTGTATGATAGGCACTTAATATAACATTCATAGCAGGATGCTTTTCCCTGTAAAAGTATGATGAGATCCAATCTGAATAATCGAAGCAGAGAAAAATAAAAAGTCCTGCAAGGTAAAATGACATGCTGTCTGAAAAAAATAAAAGTGTGGGAAACTTTTATTTACTCCTTCAAGTTAGAAGATAGGAAGAGGGGAGGAGAAAGAAGGTGAGAGGGAGTGGGGGATCAGAGGTGAACAACTAACTACACCAAAGTTGCTAACAGGAACAATTTGGATTCATTAATAATGGGAAATATTTCTAAGACTCCTAGAAGAGGAGGGCTGCACTAAGATTCTTCTTGGAAGGCATCTTGTGCACCCAGCTGATAACTTTTCAGATTGAATCCTGTGTGGGAGAAAGAAGAAAGCACCAGTGTGATGTGGAAATGTCCAAGACAGGAAGAAATTAGGATCTAAACAGTTATAGAGACTATAGAAACCAAATAGGAAGAACTAGAAGATTCAATGGAAGAAAGCAAATAATATACTCCTCGGTAAGCATTACTGAACTTAGAAGGAATGAAATTTGTGAATGGAATGCGAAGGATACAACTTGCATTAAAGCCCCTTCTCTATGGAGCATCATTGGCTTCCATCTGAAAGGCCATGAAGACTTGGAAATGGAGCTAAACAAGTGGTTGACCTGACTGCATTGCTGTTGCCATGGGGTGGGGTGTTGGTGAGGTATGATTTCCATGTTGTGAATTTGTAATGCGGTAAATCACCTGGAGTCACCTGTTTATGAGTTGAGTGACCATAGGCATTAGTTTAATAAATTAAATACAAAAAGAAATAAAAGAAAAAGAAATAGAACCTAACAGAAAGGAAGAAGAGTGGAATTATGTGTGAAAGAAATGTACACATGTGTTGGAATCAAGGAAACTGAGCANTCAGTATTCTGGACTGCCTGTAGTCTTTGGAAATGGATGATACTATTTTGCACTGGTTCTGCTGTTTTCTAAATAGGCGTTCCATTTGGTAATGCAGTGGGAAGAAACTTTGAGCTGATATCTGCCTGCCTTGGTTCCTAAAAGCTATGGAGGACAGAAAAGAGGAAACAGGCTGAAAAATCTCTCAGTGAGCATCAAGTCTGATTCAAAATGAGGTGTAACTTTTCATAAGAAAGCAGGCTTGTTACTTGATGGACTCTTGGCTACTGCTGTAATAGCTGGCACACCAATGCAGAGGTGGTATGCTGCTGGTTCACACCGATTCAGGCGAACTGGTAGTGGCGGCGGCACAAGGCTCTACCCACCCACCCAGACGTCATCAAGGACCTCCTGCACATGCTTCCACTTCCAAACCGGTAGTGAAGAAAATAGAATACTATCTCTGCACCAATTGTAGTCCTTCTTAGAATGGGATCCTTGGTGATAATAACACACACTCTTATCTCTTCAAAACTAGTTATTGCAATGCATTCATGGATGGGTGCCTTTAAAGACTCTCTAGAAATGCAATTGGCACATAGTGCATCAGTAATTTCAGTAGCATACAAAAAATTATAAAACTAAACCTTCCTTCTTGCATAAGAAGGATTTCCTGGGAAACCTGTCTAAGAAATCTAACTCCGTGAAATAAACTGAGCTCCAGTTAAAATAGAATGAAAGTAGTTCTTGCTAGACAAATCCTTTACAGCAAATGCATCCCAAATAGGTTTCTAAAAGAAAGCCTGCATGTTATTTCAATGCTAGGTGAACTGGAAGAGAATCACGAGTACGAAAGAATATTATTGCTCCCAGCAAGCTGAAAGTTACATTTTTGCCCAGTTATACATTTTGAATGAGCAGAGACTTCTGTGAATTGATAGCTGGCAATTTACATGTGCATCAATATTATAAATATTATATTATTCCCTGGATACTCTCTTCATTGTTTTTTAATCTTTAAAAATAGCTTTAGTTAGCATGCAGGAAACAGATAGATGTGTCCTGATAAACAGCATATACTACAGTATCTAAAAGTCTGTTTAAAAATACTGTGTATTATATTCTCTTAGACGAAGCACCTGTGATGTTGCTAGAAAGCAACTTCACAGGTGCTTTAACAATTGATCTTTAATTGTTAGAAATGTATGTATATGCGGACTCCCAGGAAACTTTATGAGATCCCCACTTTTCTTCTTGAAATCTCACAAGATATGCACCCTCACCCATAACACTATGGCTACTGTTAGAAACAATTGCTAATCCATAGCTAAGCTTTTCTGTATCCTTCTCTTTGGATTGAACTACAAGATATATTTCTACTGATAATTTTCCTCCTCCCCCCCCCTCCTGTTGGAACCTACAATCAGTCAGCAAATCTGTATAGTTTGGAGTAAGATTTGTTGAACTTAATTTATTTCTATGTCAATCTATGCATGATTGCATTTATTAAAAGAATAGTTTATTATTTCTGTATTCATTAGGAATGCATATAGTGCTACAATGAATGTTTGACATGCCTTGAGTTGAAATAACAAATACCTTGAATGTTGGCAGACATTTCAGTTTGACTAATGAAGATGGCCTTTGGAAAATCACATCACGTTAGTTGGTAGGGACAGCAAAGGAGCGATACACTAAAAATTAATTACAATCCTATTATATGAAAAAAGAATTTAAAGTTAACATTATTAAAAAATGAGGAATTTTTTTTTGCCTTGTTCTTACACATTTCAAATGAAAACAGTGTTCATATAGTATATACCCCAAAATTGTCTTAGAATATATTAATTTTGAATTGAGGAATTCTGCTTATCTCTGTTTAAAAATTTAACTCTTATTTGCTGGTTATTCATGTGTGATTATTATGATTATGCTTTTAGAAAGGAAGATCAACACATTTCAAAACAAGTTTTCCCATGAGTGAAAGTAACCAAACTGCGGATTATTTTTCCTCCCATCTGCGCTTTAAGTGAAAGTCCACAAGCAAACATAGAGGAGTGTGTGAGAGTAACAACAATACCGTAGTAGAAACTTTTATGACCGCCTATTTTCCTGCGTAGCCACCTATTATTGAAATTTGATTTGAGCTCTTCTCTATTCCATACACACTTCAACATTATCATTTACTTGTATGAAAATACCATGTATTACATTGGTATTTGAACATAGATCTTTTTTAACATTAATACTTCATTGTGTTTTACTAATGTAGGTGAAATGTTAATCTACTGTATATACTGCTAATCCATGTATGATATGCAATACACTAAATAAATAAAATAAACAAACCTCATATCACAACATAGTGGAGAAAACANTACAATACTGCATCCTAGCCACTGTGCCACCACGGCTCCTATTCTGGGATCTCATAAACCAAGGGTCATTCCAAGGCTTGGTTTATTACCAGAGTAGTTAAGGTTTAACTAGCTGTGAAATTAATGGTCACAGCCTTTATTATTCATGAGGAATTCAAAGATACGCAGGTTAAGATACAATGGAGGCAAATCTCCTGGGCTTCTCCCAGGTAAATTCAGGTTGCAATCCAAATGTCATTTTATTTGCTAGGTTGTGATGTGACACAATGAAGGATCTTACTATTATTCTTCGCCATGATCAAATCAATTTCTGAACAATATGTAGCTTGTCAATGCTGGTGTGTGGGACCAATTAAGTTTATCTATCCAAGGTACTTTATGGATCTAGTTGCTTTCCAGTAGGTCTTTTGGATATTTCTTTTCCAGTAAACTGACAATCAGTTTCACCACATTTCTGTCTAATTCTTGAATTTGGAGATAATTAAGTTTGTGGATATTTCTATTCCTGAATGGCTTCCCTGTGATCCTGAGGTGTTCCTTAGAAAATGACTGGTTATGTAGAAGATAAAGTAACCAAAATAATGATTAAATCACTGGTGAGAAATAAACATGATCAAATCTTGATGAGAACCCATGTTGGGGTTTATACTGTAGAAATAAGAATGGCAAATTGTTATTGTTCTCCACACTGATTGTACTGGCAGAATATAATTTGTAAATATTGCTTATAGTAGATGGACAGATTTATTTACCTATAGGCTGCTGAAATGTTTGATAAAGATTTGCTGATACCATCACTTATATTTGATCAACTGGGCTCTGTATAGGCAGATTTAAATAAGGTGGCCGGATTTAGGAATGCCTTGTGAGGTTATCTGAGGCTAATTTTAATTGTGGATTTCTAGAATGTGGGTAGGATTTTCTACAGAATGAGTTTGACAACCTGTGGATTGGCTTCATACTTTGCCAAGTTCATTGGGCCAACTAATGAGAGTTAGATTTAAAAATTTGGGAGCTGGAATTGTGTCAGCTGTCTTGAAGAAGAATGAAATGTCTACTCTTAATCTATCTAATCATCAGACAGGGCAATGATTGTGAACTTTTTTCTTATGGCGTGCCAAAATTGTGTGCATGTGTGCTNGATAGATAGATAGATAGATAGATAGATAGATAGATAGATAGATAGATAGATAGATAGATAGATAGATAGATAGATAGATAGATAATAGTGGAGTGAATTGCTGCAACAACCGTTTGTTCATTTCTAATTGTGGAAGAATGCAATCTTGTGATGAAGAAGTTGTTTTTAAGTACATAACTCATATCCTTTAAAGCTGTTTACAGGAAAAAAAAGTATTTAATGTAGCCAAGAGGGTTATTCCTCCACCCAGAGAACTCCTTCAAGCTCCAGTGCAAAAGAGCATTTTAACTTACTGCAAGAGTTTTAAAAGCTGCCTGCATTGGTTCTCTGCTCCAAATCTTTCTAGCAGCTGCTATGCTGAAGCTGAAGAATACTGCAAGGGCATGCACTTAATGATTTGAGGCTCATCACCGGAGAAAGAAAAGACTCCCACTGACCTTTTTGCTGTTTAAATGATTGTATGGAACCGGAGTGATGAACCATCTTCATAAATGAGACCTCGGATGGGCCAATTTACAAAGCTAGAGGGAATTAAGGTGTTGCAAAACAGGAAACAGAGCTGCTTGCTGCTCCATGGAATCCAGCACATTTGGAAGGACTGTGTAATCCAGCATTTGCTTCAGTGAGTGTTGGGCTTGGAAGACTTTACTCCCCACCGTTGTCATAGAAACTAGAAAGGCTGGTCCAGCTTCATGCTCCCCTTAGTGGATGATTTAGGTATAATTCACTACACCCATCCGATGGGGAAATGCAGTACTGTGTTGCTTTTGAATTTTGTTGGCACTTTTTATTTTTTTCTTTAAGAGAAGGAAACTCAATAGGTTTCTAGAAGACAGTTCTTTTTTTAATTTACCTTTTATCAAAGAAGCATTGCCAATCAACAATAGAAGAGACTGCCTTAAGCTATAGTAGAGGAGAAAAATTGTCTGATGGCAAAGAATTCTGCAGATGGTCAGTGCAACATTTGATTTCATAGTTTCTCATCACTTGCTTCCTACCTGATATCTTTTTCATGGAAAGAGAATCAGCATATAAAAACCTGGGGATTCAGAGTAGCTTTTTGGTTTACGGCAAATCACATTGATTTTGAAGCCAGCATATTAATGTGTCCTTTTGTGAATACAGAATTCTATTTTTCAACTACATAAATCAATTTTCTTTTTTAACTACTGTACTTTTTATTTGAAAAAGTTAAAAGGTAAAAAATTAAAAAGTTTAAGAAAAAAGTAAGTAAGAAAAGTAAATGGAAAAGAATGAAAAGAAAGAAAAAACACAAAGAAGACACAAAGAAGTGAACCAACTTTCCAGGAGGTCCCGATAAATGGACATGTGGTTTCAATGAAATCCAATAAACATATGCAACGTTTTAATGTATGAAACGTTTTAATGTATGATGAAATGGATTCTGATACAATCTAATTTGGCTCAATATATTTGCATTAACTAAGGAAGGACTCAAATGATAATTTTAATGACTTCAGGGGATCAAAAATATGACTCAAGGAAATGTCATACTGATTGTGAATGTACAGAATGACAATGTAAAAAAAGGTTGTAGATTATCTTATATAGACAACTGTTGACTTTTGCAATCTAATTTGACAATAGAGCATGTCAAGGATATTGTATCTTGCACCTGTAGAACATAGCACTTAGCACTTAGACTTATATACTCACTTCATAGTACTTTACAACCCTCTTTAAGTGGTTTACAGTTAGCATATTTCCCCCAACAATCTGGATCCTCATTTACCAACCTTGGAAGGATGGAAGGCTGAGTCAACCTTAAGCCAGTCAGGATCAAACTGCTGGCAGTGAGCAGAGTTAGCGTACAATACTGCATCCTAGCCACTGTGCCACCACGGCTTCTATTCTGGGATCTCATAAACCAAGGGTCATTCC